GGAATGCAGCTCTTGGAAATGCCACTGGAGCAGTGTCCTGGGCACTGGGATGGTGTCCAGAGGTTGATCCCAAATTACCTGGAGCTTGTGTGATCCAAGGAAAAGCTTCCTCTGATCCTAAATCCATTAGAATTGTGTTTATGGTGCTTTTCTCCAGTTTTTGCCATGGATCAGGCACATTCCTGCCCCAGAATTTGGGAATGAAGGGAGCAAAATCCCTGAAATTCAGAGGATTCGCAGCCCTCTGTTATTCCCAGATTTTTGAGAATCCCATGGCATCTCGGGATGAAGAAGAGGAGGAAAAAAGACAAAAAAGGGGGAAATCTCCCTCAAAAAAAAATGAGGAAAAAATGGTGTGGCCCATTTGGGATCTGACATATTCTTTTCCCAGAATTTGGGAATAAAGGGAGCACAGGTCTTGGATTTATCAGACACATTCCTGCCCCAGAATTTGGGAATGAAGAGAGTAAAATCCCTGACATTCAGAGGATTCACAGCCCGTGGATATTCCCACATATTCCATAATCCTGTGGGATCTCAGGATGAAGAAGAAGAGGGAAAAAGACAAAAAAGGGGGAAATCTTCCCAAAAAAATGAAGAAAAAATGATGTGGCCCATTTGGGACAAAAAACCCACCAAGAGACACAAAATCCCTCCATCCTCTGGCCAGGAAAAGCTGGAAAAAAATCCTGGCTGGAAAAAATTCCTTAAATCCAGCGGAGGGTGAAAGTTGGGAGCAGAATTTGTTTGCTCAGGTGGAGCTGGTCCAACAAAGGGCTCAGCTTTGTTCAAAATTGGGATTACAACGGGAAAATTCCCCCCAGGACGTCTCCCGGTGCAATTCCAGCCTGGAATTCTATGGGAAGCTATTGTCAAAATAGGAAAATGAGGCTGTAAATGATGATTATTTTCATTTTTGCTGTTGTGGCCTTCATTTTTTTTTTTATATATATATATTTTGGATCCAAAAGAGCTTTGCCTGCAATCCCCAGTGGAAATTTTTACACAAAGTCCCTTTTGATTACAGAAAATCAGGATTGTGAATCCAAAATTAAAAATTTTGGTGGGGAACGCTGCCAATCCTTTGGCTTCCTCCTTCCTAAAAAAAACCCACCTTGCCTTGCCTTGGCTGTGCTGGGAGCTGTGGAAAACATGGAATTTATCAGTTCTGCAGCAGGAATTTAATAATAATAATAATAAAAAAATATAATATAGTAATAATAATAATGGGGAATAATAATAATAATGGGGAATAATAATAATAACAATAACAATAATAATAATGGGGGAATAATAATAATAATAATAATAATAATAATAATAATAATAATAATAATAATAATGGGGGAATAATAATAATAATAATAATAGGAAAATAATAATAATTTTAATTTTTTTTCTGCTCACAGGTACCCTCTGAGACGAGGCAGCTCCTTCACATTCCTGACTCCAGGCCCACACTGGGATTTCACCCTGGTGAGTGGAACAGCTGGAAAAACAGAAATCCAGAGGTGAAGGAAAAGCAGGAATCCAGAGGTGAAGGAAAAGCAGGAATCCAGAGGTGAATACTCCTCTGGAAAATAAGGAAAATCAACATTTTCCATGGAATAATTCCTGAGTTTTCCAGCTCCTGAGCTCGGGGAAATTCTGGTCACTTTTCCTCGCTGAATTCCTGATTTTCTGATGTGTTTTAGCCCTGGCATGGTGTGAAAAGAAAATGAGGGGTTTTTTTTTTATTATTCCTTAAATGCAAAGAAAAAAATCTGGATTTTATTGGCTTGGAGAAGCTCCTCAGAGGGAATTTTTGGTCTTGTGAACTCTTTTTTTCCCATCCTTTATTTCTCAATTTATTTGTTTATTTATTTAGGAGCAGGTAGGGGAAGATTTCCCTTTGGAATTTCCCTCTGGAATTGTCTCTCCTTCAGGCACAGAGGCTTTTGAGGAATTCCAACTCCTGGAATCCCATCCTAAAGCTCATTCCCATCATTTGCTGCCTTTGGAATTGCTGATCCCATCCTCAAACCTAAAAAATGTCCCTTCCCAAACCCAACCCCTGGAATTTGAGCACAACCAAACCCACAAATTCTCCTCAATTCAAATTTCCCTGAAGTTTGAAAACTTTCAGCTCCATTAAACCCAGATTTTTAATTCTCACTAAGCCTTTTAAAAATTAATTCTTTTAAATCTGAACATTTCGTGCTCTAACAACACAAACTAATTTTTTTTTTTTTTTCCCCCAAATATTCCTATGCCAGTCCTAAAAAATCCTCTTTTCATTGGATAATTTATGCAGAAGTTTGGCCAAAAGGCTGGAAAAGGAACCTGGCTTGGGAAGAAATTTAAAATTCTAAGCCAGAATTTTCCATGTCTGCCAGAATGGGATGGATTTTTAGGGAATGATCAGTGCTTCTTCTATGTAATTCTAAATAAAAATTAAACCTCCTCTGACTGGAAGCAAAATTCCTCATGGAATGTTTCCCTTAATTTCATTTTATTCCCCTTCATTCGATTTTATCAAATTTCAGTTTAATTTTTGCGGATTTATTTCTGGGAAATCGGAGCTTTGTGGATTTAATGATCCTAAAATCTCTAATTAAAGTTTCTGACTTCAGGTGGACAAAAAGCACCAAAAACCACT